TAGAAGAAGAGCCTGAAGGTGCACATGCTCCTGCAAATGAACCAAATTATCAAAACTTCGTTCAAAGATTTGATCAGCTAGAGACTCATTTTGATCAACGCTTTGATCAAATTGAGACTAATCTTCAACAGCAGACTGCTCAATATCAACATGACATTGGTTATTTGAGGGGACAAATGAATGATATTAGTACCAATGTACTTATGTTGAATATATACTTTAATCTCTTTGGTACTGCTCCTCCTCCTCCTCCAGATCAGGGACCGTCCGAGTGATTGTTGCACTTTATATTTTGTGTTTGTGTTGTTATTGTTTATGTGTTAGTTTTTATTTGCTTTTAGTAGTTTGATGTATTTCTTCTTTATTTTAGTTATTATGTTGATATCTTGATGAATCCTTGTAATATTTAAAATGATATCAATATAAGTTCTTGTGTTTTGATTTGAATTTACTTTCAAAATGTTTGTTAGACTTTATGTACATCATCATATTTTTAATCTTAATCATGCTATAACCTAAATTGCAAGAAAAATTAAATTCATTAGAAAATCTAATTATTCTAAGTTTATGTTTTGCTTATAACTTGATAATTATTAGGATTATAAATTTCATGTCTCTTCTTTAGACTGTAATATTATTAATATTATTATTACAATTGTGATATTTTCTTATTTTATATTTCACTTATCAATCATTATTTATGCACTTAGAAATATCTGAAATTTTATATTATTATTTTTGGAAAGAATAAAATTACTCTTGCAAATTGTGTAAAAGTACTATAAAAAAATCAAAAGGAATGCGCAAAGGTTCGCAATGTGAAGAAGAGGCATAAAATAAGCCCAAAGTAAAAATGATGCCCAAAAATGTGCCACAACTATGAAAAAGATGCGCAAAGTGCCACATGTGGTAGTTATTTCTTTCTGAACTCTTTTAATCTCTTAATTCAAATTAATCATATGTTCATTTATAATTGATATTGAAATTTGAAATATATAATTTTTCATTCATCCTTATTGCAATGATATTCTCTATCTTAGTGTCTAAACTGACTCATGTCTTTGATAAATTCTTTTTATTATCTATGTTATATCACTTCTTAAATTATATGATTTTCTATTATTTGCCTAATATTTTAATTTTATTTGCATAACTTATTTCAATCATTGTTAAGATTATATTATCAAATGATTTTCATATCTCTGCTTATATTTCAAGTTGTTTTTCTCTTCTTCACTTTTTGTTGTTGTCATAAAGGGGCAGAAATTATTTGTTGAATTGTACCTTGTGTCTTATGAGTCTTATCTTGTGTTAGTATTTGTATTTATTTTGTCTTATATCTTGTGTTAGTATTTGTATTTATTTTGCTTTTGTAATTATGTTGTTATTTTGTTTTGTAAAAAAATTTTTAAAAACAAATTAGGAGATCCTTAGAATTTGAAATCCTATAAACAAAATTTGTTTTTCCATCTTCAAAAAAGGGGGAGATTGTTAAGAGAGTTGCTATTAGCATGTTTTACATTCTTGAAACTTATATAGTTTTGATGATTCTAAATATTATTATTTTATGTGTAGTTATCTCCTAATACTTTTTGGTAGATTTGTTTTTACTCTTGTGTGTACTAACATTTTAGGAAAATTGAACTCCAAACTATAGAAACTTCAAATCGAATTCAGCATACAACCCTTTGCAAATTGAAGCTTTAAATTGTTTTTTTTTTTTTAAATTGAGAGGGAGTGAATGTAATTGAGTGAATAAAAACACACACACACACTTAAGGAGATCTTACAAAATTTGTATTGATCGTACAGGACGAACCTATTTCATACGGAATGATCAAGTCAGTTATCTCCTCGTAGGAGCAATGGAACGAACAGGAAGTGATGAAATTTTTCTAATTCCTGATCGTCCAGGATGAAATTATTTTTGTCCCAAGACAAATTGGGCTCTGTAAAAATTTTGTCTAGACGAAATCCAAATCGTCCCAGGATAAATTCTTCTCTGTAAAAATTTTGTTTAGACGAAATTCATTATCGTTCCAGGATGAGTTGCTCTCTATAAAAATTTTGTCTGGACGAAGTCCTCTTCGTCCTAGGACAATGTGAACCGACTTACCACAGTTGGTTATGTCCTGCAGTTATTAGGGAACCGACCTATGATATAACTGATCGTACCGGATGAACCTAGTTCGTACAGGACGATGATCATATACGAACATAGTTCATACCAATATACATCAGGATCATTTCCGTCACTTTAAGTAAAATCATCCAGGATGATCCACGATCGTACGGGATGATTCATTTCATGTTGTCTTGAAAAATTTGAAGTTTTTGACTGTTTTTCTTGTCTCTCCTATATATAGTCCAATTTAGACTGCCACCCAATCTTTTTGCTATTTGATCTTCGTGCATATTGAAAGAAGTGTCAAGGAGAGAGTCTGAGAGAGCATTCAAAGGAGGATTCCTACCACTTGAGTGTAAAGGCTTTGCTTGGTGTTCAAAGATAAGAATCTCTACTTGTGATTTGGGATTACTTCACTCTTTTTCTTTCTTCCTTCTAGATTTCTTGTGAGAAGATCTGTCAATGAGATCTGGTTCTCTGCTGACACTAAGAGAGTGTGAAAGGATGAAGGGTTCTCTGCCCACACTAGGAGAGTGTGAAAGGATGAAGGGTTCTCTGTCCATACTAGGAGAGTGTGAACAGCCGAAGGGTTCTCTGCCCACACTAGGAGAGTGTGAATAGCCGAAGGGTTCTCTGCCCACACTAGGAGAGTGTGAAAGGAAGGACGGTTCTCTACCAACACTAGGGATAAGTGTAAAAGGAAGACGGTTCTCTGCCGCACCAGGTAGTGGTGGAAAGTGTTTTTGTAAAGGCTTCTCCGCCTAGCTGTGGGTGCTAAAGGAGAGTCACTAGTGGTATTAGTGCAATACTCAGAGGGTGCCTCTAGGGAGTGGATGTAGGTCTGGTTTTAACCGAATCACTATAAATCTGTTGTTCTTTACTTTTTTGCTTTTTATTTGATTTTATCATTTATAAGTTGTGGTTGAAAAATCTTTTCTAAAAAATTCACTAACAATTAAGTTTTAATTTCCAAAGTTTAAAAAGAGGGTTCAAATTTTTTAATTACCAATTGACCCCCCCCCTCTTGGTTAGCCACTGGGACATAAGCTTGGGTTTAACAACCTAATTCATTATGAATGAATCTGAACAGAAAGTTTCCATGTCCATATTTTAAACACAAAAATCTAGTGTACCTAACACCAGATGAAGTAACTGTTGATCTGTATCGCAGAGGATTCATGCAATGGTATTGGTATTGGTCTTCTCAGGGTGAGTATGAGCCATAATTTGATTATCAATGCGGTCCTTCTACAAGTAGTAATATATCTGAGGCTAAAAATATCTGACCAAATCTTTAGGAATTAGTTCATGATGCAAGTGGAATACAAATTGAACAAAATACATAAGAGTTGCCGAATACGGAGGCATAAAATTTTTATGATTTACTGCATGCTACCCAACAACCAATCTGGATAGGGTGCACCACTCACTCAGAGTTATCTGTTGCTGTGAAGATGTTAAGTAATAAGGCAGAGTATAATATTGATCGTGAATATTTTAATCAATTCATTGGGCTGCTTAAGAAAACCAATCTGATAGATAATTTAATTCCTACAGATCTATATCGGATAAAGAAGTTAGTTTCCAAACTTGATTTGACATACACAAAGATAGATTGTTGTGTCAATTGATGCATGTTATACTTTAAAGAAGATATTTTAGAGATTGCATGCCATCATTGCAATGCACCAAGATTTAAACCAAAATCTAGAAATAGAAGGAAGCAGAAGGATGTACCTGTTAGTAGGATGTTCTACTTTCTAATAATTCCGAGACTATACTAGTTATATGCATCCATGAGATCTGCTGCATATATGAAATGGCAAAATGATCACATTCCACAAGAAGGTGTTATCACACATCCATCAGAAGCAGAGGCTTGGAGACACTTTGATCGTACGCATCCCACATTCACGGCAGAACCAAAAAATGTCAGATTAGGTTTATGAGCAGATGGTTTTACTCCATTTAGTCAGTCGGCTACACCGTACTCATGTTGGCCTGTGATACTCACTCCTTATAATCTTCGTTCAGAGTTATGTATGACTACTCCTTATATGTTTCTGACACATATCATTCTAGGGCCACATAATCCAAAAGTGAAGATTGACGTATTCTTATAACCATTGATTGATAATTTAAGTTTATTATGGGAAGAGGGATTAAGTACATATGATATCTCCACCAAATAGAACTTCACACTAAGAGCAGTATTACTTTGGATAACTGGTGACTTTCCAGCATATGGTATGCTCTCAGGTTGGAACACTTCAGGTAAGTTAGCTTGTCCATATTGTATGGAACATACAAAATCATTCACTTTAAAGTATGGTAGGAAGAACATTTGGTTCAATTATCATCGAATGTTTTTTCCTCCAAGTCATCCTTTCAGGCAAAATAAAGAAGCGTTTATTAAAAATAAAATGGCGATGTTTCAATCTCCTCCAAGATTAAGTAGTGAAGAAATTTTTAAAAGAGTAAGGTTCATGCCCACCATAATGGATTCTCCAACATTAGTTGAGTTCAGATTGCCAAGATATGGTGTCAACCATAATTGGATAAAGAAAAGTATTTGTGAATGGGTGAAGACCCTACGAGTACCAGATGGATATTCTTCCAATGTGTTGATATAAGACCAGAGAGATTATTCGGATTGAAAAGTCATGATTGTCACATCTTCATGCAATATCTTTTATCAATTACTTTTAGTTATCTGTCAGATCAGATTTTAAAGTCCTTGATCGAGCTAAGTGTTTTCTTCAAAGATTTATGCTCTTCTAAATTAAATGTAGAGAACTTGATTCTTATGGAGCAGCAAATTCTTTTCATTTTGTGTCAACTTGAGAAAATATTTCCTCCAGGATTTTTTAACTCTATGGAGCATCTACCTGTTCATTTACCATATGAGGCTATGGTTGGTGGACCTATTCAGTATAGGTGGATGTATCCTTTTGAGAGATATTTAAATAAATTTAAGAAGACCGCTAAGAATAAAGCATGACCTGAAAGCTCTATCTGTGAGGAATTTTAACATACGAGACAACTCAGTTTTGCTCGTATTATTTTGAAATAATGTCTCAATCAGGTGAAAGTTCAGCACCTCAAAAAGTTGGTAAATCCTCTAATATATCTGTATTAGGTGGAAGTGGTGAACCAGTAGGCACTAGCACCGTGCGCTATTTGACAGATAAGGTGATGACAGTTATCACATTATATATATTGCTTAACTGTGATGAAGTTGAGTCGTATCTCGACTAAGTATTAGTTAAGTTGTTCATATTTTCAATTTTTGTATAAACTTTGTTCTAAACTTAAGATGGTTATTTGTAGGAGGTTCATTGATGGTCTAAGTTTATCAGATGAAGGAGAAGTCCAGAAGATAGTGAAAAAAGAATTCACTGCATTGTTTAAAAATACTGTATATTTTAAATAATTAGTTGTAACTAATGAGTTCTGCTTGCAAATAATATTAATAACAATAACATCTTGTTCATTTAAAGGTACACACTGAAGATAGTGATTCAGGGTTATCTAAGTTAGCTTGGGAACCAAATAGATTAGTTAAATGTTATCATATATTTGTGGTCAACGGTTATAAATTCCAAATAAAAAATTTGTTTAAAAGTAGAAATACAGAAAATTTTGGCATATGTGTAAGAGGGAACACCCATATAGGAGTTGATTCTGAGTACTACGGGGTATTACAAGAAATATTAGAGGTGGAATATCTCGGTCATAGGATTATTGTGTATCTCTTCAATTGTGAATGGTTTGATCCAGTAAAAAATAGAGGCACAAGAGTACATCCAATTTATGGTATAATAGGAGTAAAGTAGGGTAGGAGATATGTAAATTTTGATCCATTCATCATTGCTAGTCAGGAAACTCAAGTATATTATGCTAATTATCCAAGCAGAATTGGAGGCAAACAGGATTGGCTGGTAGTTATGAAGACAAAACCAATGGGAGTAATTTAGAAAACCAGTAAAATACCATCAGCACATCAAGAAGAGTTTATGTCAAATTTAAAAAAATCTCTCAATCAATGTGGATGACCAAATCATAATTAATGAGAGCGAGTTGCAGTTAGAGGAGGTAGATTGAACCATAGAGGGAAGTAATGATGAATCTGATAGTACTATAAATGTATCATCATATGAAAGTGAATCAACAAATGATGAGTTAACAAAATGTAAATTAAATATTTTTTTACTGCATTTTACTTCACTGCTTTTTTACTTCATTGCATTTTTCTTTACTTCATTACTTTTTTTACTTCACTGCATTTTACTTCACTATTTTTTACTTACTTCGCTGCATTTTGTTATAACTCATGATTCTATTCTAATATTTCTTATTTATTTCTATGCAGATGGCTTCAGGTGAGGACCCTGGTAGAGGATTGATCAAAAACATTTTTAATAGGCGCAACAAGAAGATCACTACAGCAGGACCAGCTAGGCCAATACGTACTGAGGGGACCACCTCGTCTCAGCCTGCTACATAGTCTCTGCATGCTACACAGACTCATCCTGCTACACAGTCTCATCCTGCTACACTGACTCTGCCTACCACTCAGCCTTTACCCAGTCCTGGAGCTAGTAGCCCACAGTTCTACTCAGCAGACCCCCGATTTCCTTCACCAGATCCCGCACAGAGTACTCCTTTCTACCCATACTACTCACCCCCACCATATGCTGGTGCCCATTATACTTATCCATTTCCACCATATGCTCCACCATATTATCCCCCACCACCCCATCATCCTTCTACAACTGGTCCTTCGACACCGGCTTCACCAGAGCAGGCGACATATGGTAGAATGTTGATAGCACCTAAGGGTGACACGTAAGTACATTCTCTTTTATTTAACCTTACAAAAATTTTTATTTTATATTATATATTTGTTTGACAAAACTTTATTTTTTTTAGGTTCTACCCATCAAAACAACTGACACATAAAATACGGGACATCATACAGAGCAGGTTTGATGCTCCTTACGTTTCTTGGAAGAAAGTCCCGAAAGAAGTTTGGGATATGTGGTTCAGAGAGTTTGAGGTATTTATGAGTTTTAGTTTTTATGTTAAATGATTTATTCAATTTTACTTAAGCTATAAATCTTATATATTATATATTATATGTATTTGAATGAAGAAAGAATTTTGTTGGCTGCCCTAGCACAATGATAGGATTTAAAAGAATTTTGAGAAGCGTGGGTCTACTCGGATGCGCGATAAGTTTACATACAATAGAAAGTCTGGGAAGCGACCATTGTGGATTGGAGAGGTTATATGGGTTGAGTTGAACCTTGCTCGGGGCAGTGAAGAGTATACTAGAAAGAGCGATCAAAATCAACAGAACAGAGCTTCTGATGTTGGGGGCTTAAGTAGTTCACTTCATACTGGTGGCTCCGTTCCACATACTAAGCACAGGCATCGTTTGGTAATGAATTTTACTGGTGGCTCTGTGGAGTTTTCTGAGTATCGCATCTGGTCGCAGGCCGACGGAGGAATGCAGCATGGAAGAGTTTATGGTTTAGGTTCCCAAGCTCAGGCATACGAGAGGATAACCTTCTCTACTCCATCTAGCTTCGCATCCAATTCACATGAGTCCTTACATGTTCAACAAATAAGTGCCCTTCAAGCTGAGCTAGAACAAGTAAGGAAGTAACAAGCTGATTGGCAAGCTCAGCTGCAAGTATAGGTTCAAATGCAGATGCAGGAGCAACAAAATTAGTTGTTGGATGAAATGCACAAGATGAGGGAGCAGATGAGTAGAAAAGAGGTAGCTCCAGCTGAGAAGGATTCCATAGAGTCAGAGTAGTTTTGTTTTGTTTATATGAACTTGTTTAGTTATGTGAACATGTGTTATTGAACAATATGTGATGTTTTGAGTTATTTGATGCTATTAAACAATGTCTTTACATAGATATTTATGCTTTTGAGTATATATTGAAGTTGTTTATATCTGTTATGTGTATAGCTGTCTTCTGGAAGTGGTTTTGTATATGTTTGGAGGTGTGGAAATGCAATTGTTGGCTAGGAGGAATTTTTTTTTTGTCAATGCTACAGGTTTCCGGCGGATTTTGCATCGAAAATTCGATAGAAACGACGATACAACGAATCATCACGATCATGTCGTCATTTATTTGAACGTCGGAACTTACCGGCGCAGTATACAGCGTCCTATCCACCGGCAATTTCCAGCGTCAAATAGACACTGTAAACTAGCCGTATCATATTTATGGCGCATATCTATCGTGTTTTGTGCGTCAAAAATTTCCGGCGGATCAATACGACCTAAACTTCCGGCAGAGTTATAGTCGGAATGTCCGATTGAAAATCACCGGTTTGGCTAGCATTTTTTGCGTTGGTAATGCACCGAAAAGCACACTGGAATAGTTTTTGGTGTCTCATAAATGCCCGAAAGTTTTTCCAAAGTGACCCAAACCGGCGCACAAAATTCGCCATAAATGCACTGGAAACCTAGGACTTCCGTCGGATTTTGGGTGTTACCGGCGGATTATATCCACCGGTAATAGTGGGTTTTCCTATTGTGTTATTTTGTACTATTCATACAAAATGTTCTCAAGATTGTATTATACAATATTTATTGGAAGAATTTAATTTTTATGGTTTTTTAATGCCCTTTATTTTAGTTATGTCAAGGCATTTAGGAAGTGTATTTGAGAGCTATTGTGACTTTATTTTTCTGGAAAAAACATGAATAGAGAACTTAAAAGGGATAGAGAAAAGGGAGGATTTTAGAGTAAGAAGATCTTTGGAGGGGTTTTAAGGAAGTGTGTAGGGGATTCCACATAGTTTCTCTGGTAAGCTTGCACCTTAGTATCATCAGATTCAAGGTTCATCTTGAGGGAAGTTTTAGGAGGAAGAAGATCTTTTTGATGTCAAAGAACCCAGCTACTACGCCATACCTAGAAGGTGGAAGTGATTTTATAAGGGCTTCTCCGCCTAGCTATTGGGGCTAAAGTATAGTCACTAAAAGTTTAGTATAATACTCGATGGGTGCCTCCAAGGAGTGGATATAGGTCATGTTGGATCGAACCATAATAAATTTGGTGTGTTATTTCCTTTTATTATTTATGTATTTATTTTTCATATGATTAACTGTGTGGGTAAAAACATTGATTTATCTTTTTATTGTTAATGTAATTTTCCTCTGCATCAAGTTATAAAAAGATTTTTATTTATTGTAAAAGAATTTTTTGAAAGACCAATTCACCCCCCCTGCCCCACCTCTGGATTAGCCTCAGGATTAGTTCTTTAGGGTTAAGAACCCCTCACAAACTTTAAATCAGAGCAAGAATTATAAATTAAGTTTAGAAAACTTTTGAAAAAAAATTAAATGGCTAACTATAAAAATCATAATATTTCGCAGAAGGATATTCAATCATGTGACCACCTTTATTTGAAAGTATTTTTTTAACATTTGAAGAATTCACATATCTATTTGCTTGCGATCAATTGATTATCAAATGTGGCATATAAATCAAATTGTTTGTTTTTTACCATCACGTATTATAGATGAAGTCAAAACTAATATTCCTTTTGTTGAATATAGTATAGTAGAACAAATGAATGTTTGATTTAATGATAAATGCTTGAAATATTTTTTTTATGATTTAAATTCTAAAGATTATATGTTAATATCCACATGAACTACTAACAATGATATTTAAGATAAATTACACACTACATACAAAGGTACTATTGAAGTCAAGCAATCTAGGTTGAATATTTTAATTCTTGATTATGAACTATTTTGCATGAAATTGTATAAGACTATTCTAGACATGTATATAAGTTTTACTCAAATTGTGCCATCATTACATGCCTTAGGTAAAGAAATTTCAAACTCTAAAAAGGTCTATAAAATTTTATATTGTCTACTTGATAAGTTTGATGCCAAAGTTATTACTATTTATGAATCAAAATTTTGATTGAATATTCTATTGATAATTTAATTTGCTCACTCATTACATATGAGTAAAGTTTAGATCAAAGATGTTTGGATATATGTGAAATAATTATGCTAAAATATGAAGAGACGGTTAAGAATGGATTAGTAGATAATGAGAACAAGGAGATATACTAGATAACAAGCCAAATTAAAAACCTACTGAAGTATAAACATCAGCATTAATAAAAGTGGAAAAAGGTAGAAATTGTAAGAATGCTAAGATTTCTTTTAACATTATTTTTTTGGGTGTTGCATACTTGGACATATGAAAATGAATGCCCTAGTTTAAAAACTCTTTCAGAGAAAAAAAAAGGTAAGAAAAATTAAATTGCAATAAGGGTAAGTGATAAAAAGTAAAATCTCCTTACCAGACCTAATTTCAGAATCATCAGACCAGGAGCAAGGTAATGAGGTATAAAGTTTTGTTTATGTGTTTATATGTTGTAGTTAATGCATGCATATATGTTCTTTGTATTATTTTGTTTAATATAAATATTTTATGTGTTATTATTATTAATTTTTTTTTGAAATCATTTTATTTTATTTTTCATGTATGTTTCTGTAATTTATCACTAATTAACACATACAATTCACATTTAACATTATATTTGCATAAGAGAATCAATTCACTTCTCTCAAAATTTTTAATGAAAATTTTACCTCATTTTTACCTAAAAATTTTAACTAACTGATGATCAACTTTTCTAAATTTTTAAAGGAAGGAAAATCAGGATTATGACTCCTTCTCATCACCATAATCAAGTTATTGCACTATTTTTTTAAAAATTATATCAATTTAAGTATTGGACTTTTGAAATTAAAACTTTTTTATCATCCTACATTTTGTCTTGCTCATAGGAACCCTTTGCAAACTGATAAATATACTTCATAATTTTCTTAATCAAGCTGATCATTTTTATAATTGGATCGGGTTTGCTTTGAGTCTTTAAAGATTAAGAAGGGAAGAAAAATTACAAAATTGAAAAGAGGCTTAGAATGAGCCTTAAATGAAAAGATGCGCAATATACACAAAAATTAAAAGATTCACAGAAATGTATCAAAAATTGAAAGATGTGTAAAGTATGCCAAAAACATATAAAGAGGTATAAAATGAGTCCATAATAAGTTAACTTATCTATATGGTATTTTTAAATCTTAGAAAACCCATGGTCTAAATGATACTTTTAATACAAGAGTTTAAAAATTGTGATTTGTGACTCACCATTTTTGCATAGATATTCTATTAGATATATTACATGGAAAAAGATTGAAAAAGACTTTTTTTTCTTCTCGAATTCTTTTTTTAATTAGATTTAAAAAAAAAACTTTAACCTATAAGGACCATGAGCTAGGGTTGATTAAAATTCTAACCTTTTTGTATCTTAGTGCGATCAATTCATTACTTACTATAGTTTTGAAAAAAAAAATAAGAAGTAACTTTCTTATTTAGAAAAAATATGTTGAAATTAATTGATTCTTCTTAAACATCAGTAGCACATTCACCTGATCATAGTCTATTATGTGTGTTCCATTTTATTTTTTATGTGTTTTCTTTCTTTTTTATAATGTCAAAGGGGGAGAATGTGTTTGACTGGTTGTATTTATGTTTAAGCTGCATATGTTCATCTTGTATTATCTTTAGTTTATTTGTTATTTTAGGTTTTAAAAGCTTTTTGTTTTTGTATATTTTCTTGTGAAAAAAGAAAAAAAAAAGGAAACATTTTTATTTCCCCTATTTTTTTATCTTATTGAGGGGGAGATTATGAGTAAATTTTTTAAAATTTGTAAATTCAATCATTAATATTTTCCATTATCAAAAAGGGGGAGATTGTTGTAACTTGAGCTCACGAGTTTATGTTTTTTATGATGAC